ATATCACTTTTTTTAGTGCCGTTGTAACTTCGAATTGTCAGTAAACAAACTGTTGTAAATTGAGGACTACCTGTATAGGATCAAATTGTTGTTGTAAGAATTATTTGCAGAGATACCTTAAAACTCTAACCACATAATCCCATGTATCAATCTAATGCCTTCCAGTTATGTACTCTATGTGCCAGAGGTGGGTTCCAGCAGGTTCTGACCAGTTCTGGAGAACCGGTAGTAAAAATTCTGACTGGCCCCGCCCCCATCTATCCTCTGCCTCCCAAGTCCCAGCTGATCGGGAGGAAATGGGGATTTTGCAGTATCCTTCCCCTGGAGTGGGGATGGAATGGAGATTTTACAGTATCCTTCCCCTGCCATGCCCACCAAGCCACGCCCACCAAGCCATGCCACACCCACGAAGCCACGCCCACAGAACCGATAGTAAAAAAAAATTGAAACCCACCACTGGTATGTGCTCATGCAATGACCTAGTCTTGAGTAATGAAATGTCTGCAAGCAAGGAATCAACCAAGTTCAGAGAGCACCAAGGATTCCTGGCTTGTTTCTTCACCTGGAACTGATGAAAACAGGACAGGTCACTTCACTAAAGAGAAAGCACTTAAAGATAATGGCATCAATTCCCTCCTCATCCATGATTAAGACAGAAAGGAGTGAAGTCTTTCAGTAAACTGATCTGGCATTTAGCTGCATTATATTACCAAGGAAGGGAGATCAAAATCCATCTACCAGGTATCTGATGAAATGAGAAAGGATTATTTGGAGCTGATAACTCACAGCCATCTCTGTCTTCTAGCCTTTATATATTCATTGCCATCTCTAGTGATCACCTGAATTATATTCTCACACATATCACTTACATTAACAAAAGAGGTGTGATTGAAATGAAAGAATTGTGTAGCACCGGAAAAGTTATCCATTTAACTTATGGAATGTTGCACAAAGACAAGGACATTGCTTTCAGTTTGGTCTGTGTCTCCCTAACTCTGCTGTTAGCAGAAAGCAGGCTGGATTTGACTGTGCTTCATCTTTGAGAAAACTCAGGGTCTCACTTGAGACCCATTTTATTGAGATGCCAAGGAGTCTCAATACGGGTGGAGATCACCATCTTGAGAAAGGTCCCAATATATGTGTTTACTCAGTGCAACACCAAAGAAGCATTCATATACTAAAGAAAACTCAGTTGCTTCAGGTCAGGTTTTTTTTTTTTTTCAGAGTGAGCTGAATCCCTGTTTAATTCTACATGCAAATCAAATAACTGTTTGAAGGTTTCCTAGTACCCAGGAAAGATGAACTTTAAAAATGCTCCTGATAAATTGAAATTAAATGGTGTGTTTTGCTACCTTTCCTGCTTTTTTCAGACACAGCAGTCTGCAGTCTAAGCACTTTAGGCAAATCATACTACTGCAATGATGTCAAAGCTCAATATTGAAGGATTTGGCTTTACCCCAAATTACTATTGATGTATACAGCTGGTCCTTGACTTACAACCATTCATTCAGTGACCATTTGAAGTTCCAATGGCACTGAAAAAAGTGACTTATGACCATTTTTCACACTTACATCGACATCATGATAAAAATATGGGAGATTGGCAGCTGTCGTGTATTTATGAGAGTTATCCTGTCCTGGGATCAAGCGTAATCACCATTCGTAACCTTTCCACTGGCTTATGACAAGAAAAATAAATGGGGGAAGCCAGATTCACTTAACAACTGCATAAATCACTTAACAACTGCATAGATCACTTAACAACTGCAGTGTAACAACTATTGCAAAAAGATTGTAAAATGGGCCAAACTCACTTAACAACTGTCTTGCTTAAGAACAGAAATGTTGCGCTTGTAAATGAAGGACTACCTGTATGTATTTTCCAGAAGCGCAGGGAAGCTTTTGCTGGTTCCTAAAAATGAGCTGCATGCACATAGTATTTCTATGCTTTTACTTATTATTCATGTAATATAATTATCTCCTTGGAATTGTGAATTCTCCTCTCAATTGAAGCAGGGAGCAACCTGCAATATAGAATCACCTGTGAGTTTTCATCCACAGGAGTAATTCCAAAGAACAATTTGGTGCTATACATTGGTTGCATTATATATTCATAATCAGAGGCCCCTACTATGATGCTTCCAGCATTTGAAATTAAGCCTGTAGTGACCAGAGGTCTTTTTGGTCTAATCATGAGACGCTATTTAAGATACCTCTGAAAAGAAGCAGCATTATTTTATGATTCTGAAATGGAAAAAAACCTTGTGCTTTACTTCATGCAATTTTGCATAATCTCATGTGCAATGGAAAAGAATCTGCTTTTATAACAGATTTATACTCCACACCATCTGTTTCTTGAGAGACCTGCAAAGCAGCAAATGATCAATACACATAAAATAATACAATAATTAAAACATCAAACAGTCAAAACAAGAGCAACACAATAATATATAAAAATGTTAACCAGAGATAAATCAATTCATGTGCCCTTTTTGTAAAATAAGAAAAAGGAAAGAAAAAGGTTGGAAAACTTTAAGGCAGTTTGGACTAGGTCCAAAGAAGTAATCCACCAGATCTTAGGGACCGGAGGGAGAAAGAAATGTGTTCTCTAATTTATCTTCCACTATCTGTAATTCTCCATATGTTAATTCAATCCTCCCTAGCAGCACAACCAATGGTTAAGATTACAGGAATTAATCTCACACATCCAGGGAACACAGTTCTCTGTAGGTTTCTTCATCCACATTTCATTCAAATTTCAGTCACTAATAAAATTTTAGTCCCTTATTTGATTTACATAGCCACCCATCTCGTACATGACTCTGGTTGGTTTACAATAGAATAGATAAAACCAATAACATGCATAATATAAAATAAAGACACACAGCAGTTATGTGTCATAAAATAACCACACATCTAGGATACAAAACCAAGTTTTGAGAGTCTGGTGAAAGGTCAGCAGAGTAGGAGTTAAATTGCACTTTGTGTTTTAAAAGAAGACGAATCAAATTTCAAGTGATGCCACATTGGTCGACTTTAGCCAGATGGAAGCATCTAAGAGCAAAGGAACACCACCAGGCATAGTCAACCTTACTAGTAGGCAAGATAGGAAACATGACTAGATCAGAGGTGGGATTCACTTACCTTCCCTACCGGTCCGCAAATGTGAGCGTGTGCATGCACATGGCCTTCCGCGCATCCTCTTTGCTCGCGCATTACGTCCGGGCGGGTGGGCGGAGCCTCCCGCAGTCACCACTACCGGTTCGCCCGAACCAGACAGAACCGGCTGAATCCCACCACTGGACTAGATGACATATTTTACTTTGTTGTAAAGCTATATTAGTAGAATCTTGCAAATCTGAAAGTACAATTCTCCCACCTTCTCTTTTACAGCCTGAGAAACTAGGGAGGATTTCCTCTGATCTTTTTGCCCCATCCACTATCCACTTGTGGCCTATGTGGTCTCTTATCTGACTATCTGATTTTGGCCCTCTCTCCCAAGGTCTTCTCCACGTGCCACTTGGATATGGATGGCCATACCAAGCAACTCAAAGAAGCCCAGTCTGGCCCCAAAGTTCTTCGATTGTTGAAGCTATCCCTGTTTAAGGTAGTTAAATCAAGATTACCCTAAAATCAATCCCAGTTTATTTCAATAGTATACGCTGCTTTGATAATAAGTCTTTAATTTTACAGTAAAGCGTTGTTTCTATGGCTCAGTTTGGCAGAAGCTGCACCTGTCAGATAGGAATTTTATCGACTGCATAAATATTGATGACTCTAATAATTTGTGCCCTGCATATCCTCTCCTTAAAGCTATCATGTAATCCTCTAGCTAGGGCTACGTCTGTAAAGAAAAAAGCCACCTCCATTTGCATGGTAATGAAGTGCTCTGAAGGTCCTCTTTGGAATTGTTAGCCACACTACAGTGTCACTAATGGATAGGGAAGCAAGACTTAAGGATAAATTAATTCTTCCAGACACTCTGATACATTCATGGAATAATAGATTTTAGTAGCCACCAAGGAAGATGTGTTTGATGGGATCTAGTATCAGAAATTAATGCAGCCTTTTTCAGTAGTAGCTATCACACCACAGTTGCAGTTATGGGTGAATTCAGTTTTTGGGAGATTAAAAACAAAACAGAGTAGAATTACAATAGGAATAGCCAGAAGCTAATAATGATTTGAATGAATTTGTTAACATAGGATTAGTAGTAGTTGAACTGAATATTAGCATTTCCTATTGCTATTCCTATATATCAGCCATTTAACAAACAAAACTATATATTAACTATATATTTAATAAACAAAACAGATGGATGGATGGACAGACGGACGGACGGACAGGCAGGCAGGCAGGCAGCAATAGGAAAGGCTAATATGATTCCCTCCATCTGATGTAACTTGAATGACCAATGCCAAAAACAATGGGAATGATAATTTTAAACATCTGCATGAACAGCTGTGTTGTTCATGTAAAATCTAAATTTATTTTCTACTACCTTGCAACTGTTTTGTTTATTAAACGGCTGATATTTATACTGAGTGTTTGAAGATGTTATTAGTTTGGTGCTGTTCTTTTAGTTTAAATTGGTAGACATTGGATTATCATAAACTGCCCTGAAAAAGCATTTGTTTACATGTATGGCATGAATATCCTTAAATAAATGAGCCTGCACCCTATTATCTAAAGATCTAACATTGTTTTAAAGTATTGTGTTACTCTGAAAAAGTGATTTCCTAAACTTAAGCTGAGGTTACGTATTTTATATATGTGCCAGTCTTCCAGATGAGATAAGATTTCTTGTTGATATAGCCTACAGCAGACTAATGCAACTACTCCCCCATAAATGAAGGAATTGAGTTCAGATTCCTTTGAACTATTTTATTTAGTGGGTCATTAAGAAAATGTCTCTTGTATGTCCAGGTCATGCCATTTCAGTTCCTTTCCTTTCAATTCTTTCAATAGTACACAATATTCTTTGGATTTCCACTCTAGAATACCTTGGGCTCTTTAACTTGTTTATAATACAATTCTTCTCTTTGAGCTTAATGGGTTGTTCTTTAAATGGTGGAAGGTAAAACAAAAATCCATATATCCCTCTGCAAAGTCAGAACTTCTTAGTGTAATACTGTATGCTGGAAAACCTATAGCCACAAAAAGATAAACGAGACATTAAAACACAACATACTTAGATCGGCAGGAAAATAATAGCTTTGCCAATTTACTTTCCAAATTCAGATGACCTTCACAAACAAAAAGGGAAAAAAAGCTACGTAGGCTTTTTACAACATCCACAGTTCTACTGACTTCAGTTTCAGAATGGTCCCTCCCCTTGTCACTGATCTACCCTACATGCTTGCACACAAATGTTGGGAGAATTGTTTCTTGAGATGCTGCCCAGAATTGTGATTATTGTAGTGGGCGGATGTAAAGATGTTGCCCAGTTATAAAATCTTATTAGGTAGGAAAGACCAATGGGATAAAATTCTCTATCTGGATGGTGGAGTATCCCTATGGACACTTAGCAGTCTTACATTGGAAAACAGGGAAATAGTACTGAGAACATTAATCACAATTCTGCAATCTGGTCAAAGTTAGCATGGGAGGGAGGTATTCTGTATAATTCTGAAACTGCTCAGGACATTTACCAAAACTCAGGGAGCAATTATGCTAAATGATGCTGGTATTGTAAGAAGTAAACAAATTTGATAAAACATTTTGATAAAAATGTTAGGAATGCATGATTGAGTTTACATTATGCTTAGCCAAGATTATTTAACCACATGAATAAAACTCAGCTGCTTCCGTTCACATAGTTGGAAAACAGAATTCTCCAAACCTAGCATCATTATTATTTTCAGACATGCCTGTAAGCATACACAGGTCCCCATAAAAATGTGAGTAGATGGTGCAGAGTTTCTAGAAATATGGCAACATGCCCAGAAAATGAAAAATAAAATGGTAGGAAGTATTCCAGACTATAAATTTAATTTAATTTAATTTAATTTAATTTAATTTAATTTAATTTAATTAATTTAATTTAATTTAATTTTAATTTAATTTAATTTAATTTAATTTAATTTAATTTAATTTAATTTATCATATTTCTATGCCGCCCAACTCCCAAGGGACTCTGGGCGGCTTACAACAGAAATAATACAAACAGTGAACATAATTTTTTTTTAAAAAAAAAAACATTATAAAAGCATTTTAAAAACATTAAAAACACATGCACACCATCCATGGCCGGATCTCGCAAGATTGAACAGTGAGATCAACAGCCCCAGGCCTGCCAGAAAAGCCAGGTCTTCACCGCTTTCCGGAAGGCCAATAGGGTGGGGGTAGTCCGGACCTCAGGAGGTAACTGGTTCCAGAGAGCTGGGGCAGCCACAGAAAAGGCCCTCCCCCGCGGGCCCACCAGCCGGCATTGTTTAGCTGACAGGACCCGGAGGAGACCAACTCTGTGGGATCTTACCGGTCGCTGGGAGCTATGCAGTAGAAGGCGGTCTCAAAGATAGCCTGGCCCTGAGCCATGTAGGGCTTTAAAGGTAATAACCAACACCTTGGTTATTAAAGGTAATAACCAAGACCAATAGGGAGCCAGTGCAGCTCGCGGAGAATTGGTGTAATGTGGGTGTATCTAGGCGCACCCACGATAGCTCGCACGGCTGCATTCTGGACCAACTGTAGTCTCCGAACACTTTTCAAGGGTAGCCCCATGTAGAGCGCGTTGCAATAATCTAACCGTGAGGTGACAAGGGCATGAGTGACTGTGAGGAGAGCCTCCCGATCCAAGTAGGGTTGCAATTGGTGCACCAGGCGAACCTGTGCAAAGGTCCCCCTAGCCACAGCTGTCAGATGTTGCTCTAATCTTAGCTGTGAGTCTAGGAGGACACCCAAATTGCGAGCCCATTCTGAGGGGGACAATTTCTCCCCCCCCAAAACCAAGGATGGACAATCAACATGGTCTTTAGGAGGCAATACCCACAGCCACTCAGTCTTGTCTGGGTTAAGCCTGAGCCTGTTGACTCCCATCCAGACCCTCACAGCCTCCAGGCACCGGCACATCACATCCACTGCATCACTGAATTGACGCGGGGTAGAGATATACAGCTGGGTATCATTAGCGTTAAGAATAAGAGACAACTTGTCTTAGAGAATATCAGGGCTTTGTCATTGGTCACAGAAAGATTTCTATGCTTGGTGTGGCCACCTTGTGCTCAACAGTTCCAAGACTAACTAATCTAAGTAATAAAGGTTAAAGCTTGTCAAAATATTCCACTGGACCAAAGTTTTGTTTCTCACAATTATCAGTCAGATGCTGCCAAAGAAGGCCTGGTCCTTCTCTGCTATTGGTCCTTCTCTGCTATTGCAATTGGCATCATATGGCATATCACTTTGAACCCTGAAGCTCAATTAACTCTCCAGGCTAACAGTTGATGTATGGGCCCATGTACTTGCATATTCCCCTTTAAACCATCTAAAGTTAATGAGCATCTGAACATCTTATGCCATCGTGCTTACAAAATTTATTGCCATGATGTTGTGCATAATACATAGCACTGAAAACGAATGCTTAAGAAATTAAGGCTGTCGTCCTAATCAGTCTTACACTGGTGTAAGTCCAGTAGGACTGCCCTGCATGTATTCAGATGTGCAAAGGGTTGTTCTTTATGAAAATACCAGAAGCAGAATGAAATTTAAAGTAAAATTGGAATTAATTATAAAATGGAGCTTAGATTTCTTCATGTGCTGATTATCATGGATCCAACACAGCTAGCCATTAAAAGGTAAATTTTCATTTACCACTGACAATAATAACTGGAAGTGCTAAATGGGACAAGATATTGGTGAAGGCCTTGGTAGTACAGTGGTCTAAGGCACCCTGTTATTAAGACCAGATGCCTGCAATTACTGCAGGTTCGAATCTCGCTAGGCTCAAGGTTGACTCAGCCTTCCATCCTTTCTAAGGTAGGTAAATTGAGGACCCAGTTTGTGGGGGTAATAAGCTGACTTTGTATAAATATACAAAAGTATGAAGGCTATTGCTTAATGCATTGTAAGCTGCCCTGAGTCTCCGGAGAAGGGCGGCATATAAATCAAATTAAAAAAAAAAAAGGCAAAGATAATGGCCAATGACAAAAATATGCACGAAGAAACAACTGAACCTATAAATACCATGAACCTGAAGGGATAATGCTTAGAATATAAATCCTTGTCAGACCTAAATATTTAATACACCCTTTGACAGACTTTGGTTGTTAGTTGCAAAGTCACGTCTGACCCATCGCGACCCCATGGACAACGTTCATCCAGGCTTTCCTGTCCTCTACCATCCTCTGGAGTCCATTTAAGTTCATGCCTACTGCTTCAGTAACTCCATCCAGCCACCTCGTTCTCTGTTGTCCCCTTCTTCTTTTGCCCTCAATCGTTCCCAGCATTAGGTTCTTCTCCAGTAATTCCTTCCTTCTTATTAGGTGGCCAAAATATTTGAGTTTCATCTTCAGGATCTGGCCTTCTAAACAGCAGTCAGGGTTGATCTCCTCTAAGACTGATCGGTTTGATCGCCTTAGAGTCCAAGGGACTCACAGGAGTCTTCTCCAGCACTAGAGTTCAAATTCTTTGGTGCTCAGCCTTTCTTATGGTCCAACTTTCACAGCCATACATTGCAGCTGGGAAAACCGTAGCCTTGACTATACGCACTTTTGTTGGCAGGGTGATGTCTCTGCTTTTTAGTATGCTGTCTAGATTTGCTATAGCTTTCCTCCCCAGGAGCAAGCGTCTTTTGATTTCTTGGCTGCAGTCCCCATCTGTGGTGATCTTGGAGCCCAGAAAAATAAAATCTGTCATACCTCCATTTCTTCCCCATCTATTTGCCAGAATTTGAAAGACTACATAACCACTTCCTCACTCAGCTGCCTATTTGTACATACTGGATGTGCCTCTTGGTAGCAATAACATAGCTGGTTTTTCCAGTGAAGGGTCACTCTCCATAAAGATAAGCATAATACACTATAGCATGGTACAGCATAGCCCAAACTGTAAAATAAGAAAGATAGGGAGACAAAAGTCCAGTTAAAGATGGAACAGAAAGACCAGAGTTGGTCATAATAGAATGAAGGAAGAAGATATTGAGTTAGCAACATTAAAAAGACATTACTGCAAAAAATTGATCTTTGTACAGGTAATCTTCGATTTACAACAGTTCATTTAGTGACCATTTGAAGTTATACAACAACACTGAAAAAAATGACTTATGACTATTAATCAGTTATGACCATGGCAGCATCCTCATGGTCACGTGATTTACATTTGGATGCTTGACTGCTGGTTCATATTTATGATGGTTGCAGGGTCCTGGGGTCATGTGATCCCTTTTTGTGACCTTCTGAGAAGCAAAGTCAATGGGGAAGCCAGATTCACTTAACAGCGGGGGTGGTGTTTTTCTATTTACCTTTACTACCAGTTTGTAACGGGGCCGCACACACGCACTTGCTTCACTCGCGCGTACTTCTGCGCATGCACAGAAGCTTCCTGATGACGTCAGGGTCGGTGGGCGGAGCCTCCCACCGGTTTTACTATCGGTTCTATAGAACCGGTCCGAACCAGGGGCAACCCACCACTGCTTAACAACCTAATTTAACAACGGCAGTGAATCAGTTAACAAATGTGGCAAGAAAAGTCATAAAATGGGACAAAACTCACTTAACAAATTTCTCACTTGAGCAATATAAATTCTGGGCTTAGTTGTGGTGGTAAGTCGAGGACGGCCTGTATAATACAGAAGAATAAACCTTCCTTCCTTCGTACTACTGTCTTAGTATTACCATCTGCAAACCTCAGATGTTCATCTGAAGTTCGTTGATAAGACAACAGGGCATCATCTGTAAATGTCCCACCCATTCTAAAATCTTATAATCCAATGAGAAGCCTAGGAGTTTAGAACAGTGGTGAAATGTAAAATTAGTTACTACAGGTTCTGTGGGCATGGCTTGGTGGGGATGGTGGTAATGTGACTGGGTGGGCATGGCCAACTTTTTTTTTTTAGTTTTAAAAGCATTTTTTCTACAACCTCTTCAGCCAAAGAGGTTGTAGAAAAAAATGCTTTTATAAGGCTCTGACGATCCCAGCTGAGCTGCGTGAT